GTGTCTGTAGCAAGGAACATGACCCTCGGCGTGGCCAACCGGGTGGCAGCCTGGGCTAAGCTTTCACCTGGTAATCGTTTTATAAATGTTCCGTCTTTCATTTTGATACGTCTACTTACTTCGTCCTGATATAAAATATTCTTGGCTATTAATTCTTGAATCTCCGGACATTTGCCAATTCGATGACCGTCTTTATTACATCCAAAACATCCCGTTGTTTCTGAATGTGTCGTCCCTGCTGTTCCAAGTGGAATGTTGTTCGGATAAGTTGCTGGTCCAGATAGTAAGGATGAATGCTCACGCGGTTTAGATACATTTTCACGTCCTCCATCTACCCGTTCCCCTACTAACCTAGGTGGCTGAACACATTTTGCCGCCATTCCTGTTGTATCAAGTGCAAGTACCTTATAAAATACTGGCGGGTATTCAGGGTCCGTAATAGACATTTTATTCAGCTGCCGGATTAAACCAGAAACTTCTTCCGCTGTTCCTGCTGTAGTCGATTTACTGGAATTATTGGAGGTTCCTGCTGACTTAGATTTTCTTTTTCGTGCTTTACGGTCCTTTTCTTTTCGTGCCTGAATTTTTGCACGACGCTTTCGTCGATAAGTCTCATAATCAGAATCTGCACTTTCATCTTCTGATCCCTGATCTTCTGAGTCTTCATCAGACGTTCCATTGTCTAATTCTACACCGTAATCCGCTGCATTTACTACCATTGTCTCAGCACGATTTCGCCGGAAAAACCATTCGGCCGCATCATTTATTTCTCTAACCGTATACTGCTTTCGGTTATTACGTGCGGGATTCAACTGCGTAATTCGTTGTTCTAAGGTGCGTCGTAAATCTTGTTCAATTCCTAACAAAAAGTATACATCATAGTTTAGCTTTGTAATATGACCTTGTTGCAATAACATACCTGCCATGGTCTTATACTTAATAAAGTACTTCTTCCACTGAGATAAATTCTGAAATGGCTTACTTTGCGTCTTCAGTGTGTAAGCTGCAATATTGCTTGGCCTATATCTTGATGTAGCCCTTTCCGCATCATAGCATTTAAGAATCTCTTTTCTCAATTTTGCCCAATTCTTCGTTTGATAATGTTCCGAGGCTCGAATAAATCCCTGGACATCAGGAGAACAGTAATCTAATACGCTCTCACACTGATCATAGGGATCTGCAACTCGATATTTTACCAAGAGTTTATCATAATGAGATATAAAATACTCTACCTCCGAGTGATGTCCCCTGAACGTTTTTGGTGCATCCCGACTTCCTCGCATAGGCATGTCCCAAACTGTCCGCGTTGAAGATCCAAAAGCTGGCAACACTGTAGACATCCGAACTGGCTTAATTTCCGGTGATGACGGCACTGACACGGAGGATTCAGGTGAAACACAACGTTCATAGTCTTCATCATCTGTTGTAGGATATGTGCTAAATAACCCTGAAGCATGCCTTGAATAATTTGGTTCTGGCCTGCTCGAAGGTTGTCCATCAGCCCGATTTGGTGTTAGAACCGGAAATGGCAAGCGAGTATCCTTTTCAGGAAAGGCGAACTGTGCCGTGGGCGCACTCGCTTCATAGTGAACTCCTTTTGACGTCGAGGCTTGAGGCACTGCCGGCGTCGATCCAGAGTCACCAAATAAATTTGCTTGATCGAAAGACATATGCATAGGAGCTTTGCCTTTACTATTCATTCGTATCTTGTCGTATTCTTGAAATAAATTTGCACACTTGATTTTTATTGGAAGAAAATTCCCTCGCGGTGGGCTCCAATGATGTCAAGCGTATAATTTGTTATACAGGAGGTGCGCCGAATGTAGCTTTAATAGGGTGTTTCTCCCAAGTTCGATATTCCAATATAGAGTGCAAGTTTCGTTAAACTAGTGCTCGTACCAATAAAACTTCTTTTGTGAGTGCAAGTCAGTTTACCGTAAACTACTTACGTATCACGTACTTTCTTTACTTTACTCCTAGCACTCCCACGCGGGTGATAGCGAGCGTTCTTTCTTCTTTAGCGATTACTTCTTATCTCAGCCTTCCGTAAGCCGAGATTCTTCTTTAGCGATTTCGATTACTTTAGCTAACTGAGCGAATCAGTCAACTGTCACTTTACTTGCTTTCTTAACTTTACTTGCTTAGCTCGAACTCAAATCAGCACTTTCGTGATTCACAATTCCATCTCCTAACTAAGATTTACATCTGGCTTTATATACTATTTCTACGCTGACTCATCGTGAGTCAGTTGCTAATGATTCATACTTTGACTCCTAATCCCCTGACTCCAAATCCAACGTGAGTCAGTATAAATATCCTATGACTCCTCCATGATTCACCTCTGACTCTCTAAATTTATGACTCCATTGCATTCGTGAGTCATCCTAATTTCTTTCTGACTCTCGCAAATTGACTCTGCACCATGCGACTCTTGTTATTTTAATTCTATAGTCAGGTGAGAATGAAACATAAACTCTAAAATATTACCTCTTGTCTCCAAACCATTTGGAGACATGACAGTGCATATTGAGTATAGTGGTGCACCGTACACCACATCCACTTTATGCCTCTACTTCCTTCTTGCCATAACTAAAATTGATAACCTGTGAGAAGATGAAACAAACTTCCGACAAATGCGGACACGTGGAGTCGAACCCCATCATCTCCTTCAACCTCTTGCTGGCTTAATGAAAGGAGAGGTGCACCATCAATTTATACCCTCATTCCTGCGCAGGGTAAGTCAGATAAAATTTGAGTTGAACTCACTGCGTTCCGACCCCTTTCTAAACTCAGCCTGAGTGTAGGGACCCAGAAGTAGCGACACCGATGATTGAGGCTAGGTACCTACAGCATAGTCTGTGGAGATCTGCCTAGCTCTGGCTAGGTTAGTGTAGGTCGGTCTAGGTCTGGGAAGGTCTGTGTAGGTCATCACAGGTGCTTGTAGCCACCTACAACAGGGGGAAGGCATGCAGATACTCAAAACATTAGCCAATGGAACTGTTGCTCCACGAGTTCTTCCGATGCAACTGTCCAAAAATCGCACTACAACTAGTCCCTGTGCAGCTGAATTTTGAGGATCACAGTGTACAGAGAAACTTGAGCTTAAAACTTGATGGTCTCCATGGAACTGCAAGCAATGTGCAAGACAAAAAAAAAATTCAAAAGGGAAGTCTAGGTCTGTGCAGCTGAGTTTAGGGAGCTAGCCTCACCTTCCACAAGCTACCCTCATCTACACTTACCTGAGTTTAGGGGCCTTACTGGGTAAGTACTCCAGAAGCCAAACGAACATTACGTGTAGTCGCCTAGATGGGGGGCTGTGTAGTGATCTACACCGACCTAACTCCATCTAGCACGACCTACAGAACCTAGCCTCAGCTGAGTCTAGGATGGGTCGGAACGCAGTGACTGTGAGAACAAAAAAGTGGGGAACGGGTGCAATGCAGTCCCGGGGAGTCGAACCCCAAGAGCTGCGTAAGTGTGACAGGTTTTATTGATTGCAGCGGTGCCCCGTGCACCACGTCTGCTTTCCCTCTTCACTCCTTCGGGTCGTAATCTAGATATTTTGATTCGAACCGCGGCAAGAAAAAAAACACAACAGACAGTGAGGAACGCAGATGCAGGGAGTCGAACCCCAACAGCTGGATCTTATTTTGACCGTATTAGATAACAATGAATGCAGCGGTGCACCATGCACCACATCCGCTTTACATTTGTACTTCCTTCGCGTGGCAAGCAGATAAAATTCTGTTTAAACTGTGAGAAAAAGGTGATATAACCAGACCTCAAAGAATGCGGACACGGGGAGTTGAACCCCAACATCTGCATCAAATGTAACAGCCTCCAGTGATTACAGCGGAGCACCATGCACCGTGTCCACTTTCCGCTCTCATCCTTTTATCTTGTAAGGGAGAAAATTTGATTAGCTGTGACAGAACAAAAAGTTGAGACCACAAGACAAATGCAGACGCAGGGAGTCGAACCCCAACAGCTGCATCAGTTTCTCCTGGTACTGATTTATTGAATATAGCGGTACACCATGCACTACATCTGCTTCTCCTCATTCCGTTGCGTGAAGTCGTCGAAAATTCAGTGAACAAAAGAAAAAGTTGAGACGCTCGGAGCATGGAATGCGGACGCCGGGAATCGAACCCCAGCACCTCCTTTAACTGTTCGTGCTCGCTGATGAGGTGGGAGGGGTGCACCGTGCACCACGTCCGCTTTATGTTTCTACTTCAGTCTTGTAGAATTGATTGAACTGCAAAGGCAAACAAAAAAACGTAATTGAAAACCATGTATGTGGACGCGGGCAGTCGAACCCCAGAAGCTGCGTCAAATGTTCAACCAACTAGCCAGCGATTGAGTGCAGCGGTGCACCGTGCACCACGTCCGCTTTATCTTTTACTTCCTCTATCTTGTAGGTGAGACATTTTGGGTTGAACTGTGATAGAACAAAAAGGCGAGATCATCGGCCCATGCAGACGCGGGGAGTCGAACCCCAACACCTCCTTTGATGTCTTGTTCAATTCCCTTCGAAATGAATGGAGAGATGCACCGTCCACCATGTCCGCTTTACACCTCCACTTCCTTTTGTGGTAAGACAGATAAACTCGACTGAAGCGCGAGAAAAAGAACTGAAGATTATGCGGACGCGGGGAGTCGAACCCCAACAACTGCATCAAATGTAACAGCCTCCAGTGCTATTGATTACAGCGGTGCACCATGCACCACGTCCGCCTTATATATCTACCTCCTTTTCATGGCAAGTGAGAAGAACTGTGGCAGAAAAAAAGGTTGAAATGCTAATGCAATGCGGACGTGGGGAGTCGAACCCCAACAGCTGCATCAAATATGCCAGCCTTCTACACCATGGAGTGCAGCTGTGCACCATGCACCACGTCCGCCTTAAATGTCTAAGTACCTCCTTTTTATGGCAAGTGAGAAGATCCTATTCCAACTGTGGGAGAAAAAAAGGTTGAGATGCTAATGCAATCAAAATGCAATGCGGACGCGGGGAGTCGAACCCCAACAGCTGCATATAAACATTACCCTCTCCCTATTAAGTGCAGCGATGCACCATGCACCACGTCCGCTTTCCCTTCTCATTCCTTCTCGTGATAAGTTAAATAAATTTGAGTTGAACTGCAAGAAAAATGTCGAGACCCCCAACAATGCGGACGCGGGGAGTCGAACCCCAACATCTCCTTCAATCTAGACCTGCATGATGAATAGAAAAGGTGCACCATGCACCACGTCCGCTTTCTCTTCTCATTCCTTCTCGTGGTAAGTTAAATAAATTTGAGTTGAACTGCAGGAAAAATGTCAAGACACCCAACAATGCGGACGCGGGGAGTCCAACCCCCGACAAGTGCACCAAACCGACTAGATTCTGTTATTGATTACAGCGGTGCACCGTGCGCCACGTCCGCTTCCTACCATCCTTCTTCTACTTTGTATGCGAGAAAATTTCGCTGAACTGTGGAAAAAATGGGCGGAAATCCGAAATTATACGGACGCAGGGCGTCGAATCCCAACACCTGTCTCTTTCAATCAAAGGAGAGCAGTGCACCGTGCACCACGTCCGTTTTCCCTCCTCATCTATTCTCGCGGCAAGCTAGATTAAATTGAACTGTTTGAATTGTGAGATAAAAAACAGGTAGGCGGTCCAAATATGCGGACGCGGGGAGTCGAACCCCAACAGCTGCATCAACTACACGACCCTTCAATACAATTGATTACAGCGGTGCCTCATGCACCACGTCCGCTTTATACCTTCATTCCTTAGCGTGATAAGTCAGATAAAATTTCGTTCAGCACTGAGCAGCTGCTTCAACATTGGCCGATGAAATTGCGACGTCGACATGGTCAGGTTAAATTGGATCAACGACGAGCCGGGTCCGTGGTCTCGAACTTCGAAGGAAGGCGTCAGTCGATTTTGACAAGGAGTCGGACTCGAGGGAGATCGCCGTGAGGTTCGAGGGGATGAAGAGCGAATTAATAACCGAGCTAGGAATATCAATATATGAATTCAATTGAACCGATCGGCGCCAGCTACCTGCGTATGACATTCGCTCCATCCATTCATTTTAGAGCTTGTTAGAGGATCAAGTTACATAGAACGGACTCGAGGATCCACGTACACAACACGGGGACCTAGCCTTTCGCCGGGGCCTCCCGCGAACCAGGCTCTAAACTACCTTTCGAAAGTTCGCTCGGGATTCGGATTATGGCACCATATTTGCAAATTGCGTGAGGGAGCTTTAAAGCTCGGCGCCGCGCTGGCACACGAGTGAAGTAACAAGTCACAAAGATGGGCGCCGAGAAGGATGGCTAATTGAATGCAAAGTTGGAAAGGAAGGCGCCGCAGCTCGGCTCGGTGGTGAGTTGGTTACGCGCTGGGTTGCCGGCCTGCGATTGAGTCGTTTCTTGTTCGATGGATAATGTTCGATTTCAACCCTGCAGCCGGCCGCTGAGTAGATTACCGAGTGATCTTCGTCCGCGGATCCAAAAGGCAAATAACCAATTTCGAGTTTTATGCAAATTCTTTTCTTCGTTCCCACAACCAAGCGCAAAACACAGAACAGGATGGACTCTGGCTACGAAAACCTATACCCCAATCCCTGGACGCCATACGCGTGGTCTTTTAACACTCACCCACTCGACGACCCTTTACCGCCGTGTATACCTATTGGAGAAAGCCTCGACCCCACCACAGGCAACTTCCACCGGGCTCTAGAGCATCCCAGAGGCCGTGCGGCGCAGGCTTGTCAGAGGTGTAGGAGTAGTAAGACAAAGGTTCGTGGTTTCTTTCCTTCTTGTTTTAACTTTTTGTACGGAGTCTCACTTTCGCGCAGTGCTCAGGCGAGCATCCATCCTGCTCACGCTGCCTTGCGCACGGCCAGCCCTGTGAATACCCGAAAGCGAGGCGCGTGCGCGGGTCCAGCAGGCAACAAAAGTCGCGCGCGGGGTCCACCATCTCCTCGCATTCGTCGCAGCATTCGCCCGCGTCCCTGCCGCACCCTCTGCCCGTGAATGTGACGAAGGAACGGCCCAGGAACACGACACTCGCTACGAGGGGAATGGGTATGAGCATGGGCGTGAAGCTCGAGCTACTGTCGAGCTGCGTCCCGCTAGGCCTCCCTTCGTCGAGTAACGTTAATAGTAACGAGCACCACAACGGGCACCAAAACGGGCACCTCCTCCCCAACGGCGGCACGAAGAGGCTCTCCCTCCCCGCGTCGTTGTCTTTGGATTGCCTTTCTTCTGTGTACGCCTACCCCGCCCCTCCTTACGCGGATTCACGATATGCGGACTCGGCGTACCACTCGGCGACGTGCACAGACGAGTATCTACCCAGCTCGGCGTACACCAACACCGACGCCGACACCAGCTCCAGAAGGAGTAGCTTCGAGCCACCCTTCGCGCTCGAAAGTCCACAGCCAGCAAAAGGCGGGTACCAAAACGACCCCGACCCCGAGCCCGCGGTGTATGGCGCACACCTACTCGACCACCACCTCGACCCACGCGATCTTGACCCACTGTCAATGGAAGCAGGTTACGCCTCCCGACCCGCACGACCGCGCGAGGACTGACGTTGTCCGTCACGCACGTACGCTGTCTCTGACGTTGGTGCACTCGTACTTGGACGCAGGGGCGGGGGCGGCAACACCAGCTTGCGCAGAGGGAGCGCCCGCGAAGAGTCCGAGCACCAGGAGTACGGGGAGCAGAAGTGCGGCTACAGGCGACTGAGCACGGTTTTCTTCGACATCTCTGTCTGTCACCGTGTTCTTGAATTCTTTGCATATCCTTCTTCGATGGTGGCAGCGAGTCTCAGGTGTCGTGCGTCCGCCCAAGTGGCCATGGGGATGGTTTGCCGACTAAACGTCTTGTCCGACTGGAATTTTTTCTTTCTTTTCTCCTTGCATTGCATTGGTTCGTGCCCCCCTCCCCCTACCCGTTGCGGGCGCATCGAACCTTGAAGCGAAGGGACGTGCCTTGGGCGGGTTACTCACGCGGGAGCCGTCGGGTCTTCAGCGCCAACGCTCGGTCTGTATGATAGTCGCTGCTGCACCTTGTGTGCTTCCATCATGCTCCCCGTGGCGTCGGTGGGGGTCGGGGTCGAGTCGCTGGCCATTCACATATCCGGAGGCGAGAGGGGAACGTACACCCCAGGGTGACTGTGCGTGCACCGATCGGGGACCGAGGGGGACGCGTTCCATACAGTGTATCGGCTGGGTCGGCGCGTCACCCTCGCCCTTGTCTTCCTCCTCCTTTCCTTCCTTCCTTCCTTTCTCATCTCGATTTCGCGGTGCGTAATTCGGCGATGCAGCGTGGGGTAGGCTGCGGCCATAGGTGCTACGACGCCAAGGTCTCTCCGCAAGTTAACTATGACCTAGTCCCTGTTCTCGTTGTTAGTTTTTCCCTCTCTGCTTTGTTATTGGGTGACTACATACATGTCTTGTGCCTTTGGCCTTTTTTTTTGCATTTTTTCACAGACGCGCCGACTCGTTCCCGCTCTTCCGCGTAGGTGTTCCCGCACTCAAGTGCGCGCGTGTTCGCGACCACGGCGCCGCATTCCGGCTCGAGGCGCACGCCCACGGATAGTGTATCTTGACCGCGTACTCGACGTAGTCATAAGTACCGCAGTCGAGGATGGGGCGGCGTGCGCGCGCCGTAGACCGTGGACGCCACGTATTCCCCGCGCACGGCGCGGCAGCGGAACGTGCATAGCTTGCACCACTTCCTTCCACGTCCCCTGGCGATCGGACCAGTGCGCGCGCTCCGAGTCATGCATGTTGTCCAGTCGACGCATCTCCCGCTGGAACTGCGTATATGCCCAGACGCCAGGGTGGTCGTCGTCACGATACGTTCACGTTTGCCGCCGTGCTAGGACGGTGGCGCATATATGCTGCAAAGAAATCGCAAATGAGAACGGAAGTCAGACTCGGAGTATACTTGCGTACCTGCCTGCGTTCCGCGGCTTCCCGCACGCATTATGGGAGTAAGTACATGGAACACGGATCCGCAGTGCAATTGTGGCTGGTCGCTCAGTGAGTGCGTGATGTCCGAGTCCCAAATGCCAAATGGTGATAAACAGCAGTCCATCAAATTCTACTTGTCTTCTCCCCCTTCCTCGTTCAATCCCGAAGCAGTCAGTAGTCACCTCCTCTCTCGTGAACACACAGTCTCTGACCATAATTTAGCGCTTGACTATCTGAATCCCCCGGCGCCCAGTTTAGCGTCATATAAACGAGTGGTTGTACCTCGCCTGTTGTACACCGAGATATCGATGTCCACTGCTTGCGGCTCGCCCATCCTTTCAGTTCCACCGGAAATTATAGGCATAATATTTAGGCATTGTCTTCCTTCCGACCTCCTCCCATCATGGGTCCCATGGCCTTCACCGCACAAAGCACCTCTACTTCTGGCTCAAATTTGTCACCAATGGCGGGAGATATGTCTGGATACACCAGAACTATGGACATCCATTGCCTTTGGCGACACAAAATCTGTAGAATTACTGAAACAGTGGCTCTCGCGTGCACGGAACCAACCGCTTACCGTTGCCCTCTACTGTAGGGATGAACTGAGAGCGAGCATGCTCATGGACATCATAAAATCCTATTGTTCCCAGTGGAAGAATCTCCGCCTTATTCTTCCGATGGATGCCCTCCGCCAGCTCAACACATCCACCCTTCCCCGCCTTGAGCGACTCTCACTGAACGCTCCTTTCGCGTCTCGCGGCGAGATATCGACGGCCCCCGTTATCGTTCCCAATGCGCCACTGCTTCGCGAAGTCGAAACAAGGGATGTCCCGTATCTCCAGGCTGATCCACGGGATCCTTTCGAACGGGTAACCACCCTTGATTTTACAGGTATGGGCAGGCCCACGATCATCGCTTTCTTGCGATGCTGCCCAAACCTCCTGGATCTCTCCACTAGCAGCAGTATCAGGACAGGTGATCCCGAACCTCCGCATCTCGAGCTGCGTTCTCTGCGCTCGTTGAAAATCCACTACGGGAGCATCCTGCCTCTAATACTTCCGCGTCTGGAGCAACTTGAGATATTACCCGGGGCGGATGATCATGACGTCGATGCTGCGACCGACATCTTCCAATCTTTGGTATCACGCTCCTCAGGCTGCAACCTCCAGTCTCTTTCGATTGGCATTAACAGCGGAACCACGACGCAATTGCGACGCTTCCTTTGCGTAGCCAATACCTTACACCACCTAACGCTCCAATTCACCCCCTTCACCAAGATCAAGCCTGAGATCGCGATTCAGGCCCTCCACGGCGTCGGCGTCCTTCCGGGGCTCAAGCGCCTGGAGATTCATGACAGCTACTACTTGTCGAAGATAGAATATTGTCCTCCACTGATGGATATGCTGTTGTGGAGAAGAGAACATGCTGCCCTCGAATCGTTCGAGCTGTTTCCCGGCGCACACATCCTCCCTGCGGCCATCATGGATGAGTTTCGCATCCTCGGCGAGACAGGTCTGCAGCTGCGGGTTACAGCTCGGAACTGGCACCACGCCGGCTTTGTCGACGTGCCACTTCTGGATACTCATCCAACTGGAACCCACAACCTCGAATAACTACGATCAAAGCCGGCGTGTGCACTCGATCCGAAACAGTGCAAGTTTCAAGAGTCTTGTAGTTGTACGCTCATCTGCTTTATCGCTGCCGTGGATATTCCTGAATATTCTTCTTATTAATTGAACATTTATCACCTTTATGTTCTCGTGGGAATACCACGGCCACCACTGTCCCACAACAAGTTCGGCAACTGTTACCCGAAGGAGCGCAAAATCATTGTTTTTTGGCTGTTTTTGCTGTACGGTTTATTTCTTACAGAGTTCACTTCTTTATATTTTTAGGTGCGACACCAGTAGGAGCAAGATGCGCTCTGCCATCTTGACTCCACGCCCGGGCAGCACTCTATGTTACTAACACACTTGATCTGTTGTACAAATGTCCTTTTCCTTCACAGCTGCGTAAATTTGAGACCGTCGCACATCCTCAATTGGGGCAGAAACCCCAACAACAAATCTCGGTTGATGATTTGGCAGAATTTGAATTTGTTAGTGTCGAAGTGTGATTCCATCCACTTTTTCCTTCTAATTTCTAAGTTGTTATCTTTGCAAGCTAGGTAAGTTGGTTGAATTGGAGGGAAAAAGGCCCTGAAGTACTGACTTTGTCATGGTGTACGAGTAAAGTCGGATAAACAGGGAGAAAAGACTCTTCAGCAAGAATTATTCTTGGTGGTGGGCAATGCCGATTAGCGAACCGTGATGATCACGTGGAGAATCAATTGGATCAAGTCAGATTTTAGTGACTCACGACTTGTTTGTGTTCCTCCAGACGCAATTTGTGGCTAACGGCCAAAGCTTGGAGGCAAAGTTGTACGGAATAACATGTTGATTGTCGATAAGATAGGGTGGAATATTTGGGTGCTATAAAACTATTCAAAATTCACAGTTCATAGGCTCGTTCCATCTTTTTGAAACATTCACTCAAAGTCAAGGTACAATGTACGGGTTATCAAATGTACATATTTGAATATATTTTGACTTAAAATGGACTATACTGTCAATTGAATGAATTTTGCTTCAAAAAACTGAAAGTTCAACGTTTGTGAGATAAAGATATGAATTAGTTGGTGGCAGGGGATGCGGTCCAAATAGGGAAGAAGTGATCGGAGTTGCATCAGCGCCCGCAGATTTTCGTCCCTTGAACCTCAAAATTTGGTATGACTTAGCTGGTGATATCTGTTCAAAATATGCACTAGTATGACGTCTCCGTCTCGGATTTTTTGATTTCCAGCAGTAGGCCATAATATTGTCCAATTTGTGCCAAAAGTTGGCCAATAGTGCTGATCACAGGGGAAAATCGGGAAAAACCGGACGGAGACATCATAGCCACATATATTTCCAGCACTTTTTCTGTTTTTCTCAGACCAGTATCTTGAAATAAGAGGCCGAAAACCTGCGGGCGAGATCGGGGTCACTTTTTGAGCCGTTCAGATCCCGTGACCAGAGCGTGGGAACCCAATTTGGCAGGCGTCAATTGCCCACCACCACCTTGAAGAATGCAGACATGGGGAGTCGAACCCCAACACCTCCTTCAATACCATCGAATCATGCCTATGAAATGGAGAGGAGCACCATGCACCATGTCCATTTTACAACTCTACTTTCTTCTTGTTGTAAGCCAGATAAAATTCGTTGAACTGTAAGAAAAGAAATCGGAGATGATTTGGGCATGCGAACGCGGGGAGTCGAACCCCAGAAGCTGCATCAAATGTAACGGTGGAGTCTACAACATGGAGTGCAGCAGTGCGCCGTGCACCGCGTCCGTTTACACCTTTACTTCGTTCTCGCGGTAGGTCGGATAAAATTCTGTTTGAACTGTGAGAAAAAAGATTGACAGCAGGAATGCGGACGCGGGAAGTCGAACCCCAACAGCTGCATATAAACTTTCCTTCCTCTCTATTAAGTGCAGCAGTGCATGCCACTGCACCACATCCACTTTATCCCTCTACTTCCTCTCTCTTGTAAGTGAGCAATTTCTAGTGAGCGCATTCGCGACCGCGACGCTGCATTCTTCGAGGTGGTTACGCCCACGGATGGTGCATCGTGATGGCGCACTCGCCGTAGTCATACTACAGTCCATATTCAGGCGGGCGCGTGCCATGGACGCCACGTATTCCCCGTGCACAACGTGCATAGTTTTCGCAGTCTTGCACCACTTCCCTCACCTCGTACCCTGGCGAAGTGAAGTGGCACGAATACGCAGCTCCGTGAGCGGACCGGCGCGCTCATGCATGTTGTCCAGTCACGCATCTCCCGTTGGAAATGCGTATGCACCCAGGCCCCAGGATCGCAGTGCATTCAAATTGGGCTTGCCGTGCTCGTAGCGTAAAGGACGGTGCCATGTATATGCTGGAAAGAAGCCTCAAATAATGAGAACGGAAGTCATACTCGAAGTACACTTGCGTACCTGCCTGCGCTCAACGACTTCCCGCACACATTATGGTAGTAGGGTATACGGAACACCGATCCGCAAACGCAAATACCTGTGGCTTCGCATGTTGTCTACTGGTGGCTGCTCAAAAGTTGACTCAAGCTGGTCGCTCGGTGAGTGCGTGATGTCCGAACCCCAAATGGTTATATTGAACAGCAGTCCATCAAATTCTACTTGTCTTCTCCCCTTCCTCGTTCAATCCCAAAGCAGTCAGTAGTCACCTCCTCTCTTGTGAACACACAGTCTCTGATCATAATCTAGCGCCTGAATATCTGAATCCCCCCGGCGCCCAGTTTAGCGTCGTATAAACGAGTGGTTGTACCTCGCATGTTGTACGCCCAGATATCGATTATACGATGTCCACTGCTTGCGGCTCGCCCATCCTTTCAGTTCCACCGGAAATTACAGGCATAATATTCAGGCATTGTCTTCCTTCCGACCTCCTCCCAGAATGGGCCCCATGGCCTTCACCACATCAAGCACCTCTACTTCTGGCTCAAATTTGTCGCCGATGGCGGGAGATATGTCTGGATACACCAGAACTATGGACATCCATTGCCTTTGGCGACACAAAATCTGTAGAATTACTGAAACAGTGGCTCTCGCGTGCACGGAACCAACCGCTTACCCTTTCCCTCGATTGCAGGGACGAAATGAGAGCGAGCATGCTCATGGACATCATAAAATCCTATTGTTCCCAGTGGAAGAATCTCCGCCTTGTTCTCCCGATGGATGCGCTCCGCCAGCTCAACACGTCCACCCTTCCGCGCCTTGAGCGACTCTTGCTTGACGCTCCCTTCACGTCTCGCGGCGAGATATCGACGGCCCCCGTTATCATTCCCAATGCGCCACTGCTTCGCGAAGTCAAAACAAATGATGTCCCGTATCTCCAGGCTGATCCTCGGAATCCTTTCGAACGGGTAACCACCCTTGATTTCAAAGGTATGGGCATGCCCACGATCATCGCTTTCTTGCGATGCTGCCCGAATCTCCTGCATCTCTTCACTCGCAGCAATATCAGGACAGGTGATTCCGACCCTCCACACCTCGAGCTGCGTTCTCTGCGCTCGTTGAAAATCCACTTCAGAGGCATCCTGCCTCTAATACTTCCGCGTCTGGAGCAACTTGAAATATTACCCGGAGCAGATGATATCGATGCTGCGACCTATGCCTTCCAATCATTGGTGTCACGCTCCTGCGACCTCCAGTCTCTTTCGCTTGGCATCTGCAGCGGAACCACGACGCAATTGCGGCGTTTCCTTTGTGTAGCCAACACTATACACCATCTAAAACTCTATCTCACTCCCTTCACCAAGATCAAACCTGAGATCGCGATCCAGGCCCTCCACGGCGTCGGTGTCCTTCCGCGGCTCAAGCGCCTGGAGATTCATGACAGCTACCACATGTCGGAGATGGAGTATTATCGTCCACTGTTGGATATGCTGATGTGGAGAAGGGAACATTCTGCCCTTGAATCGTTCGAGCTGTTTCCTGGCACACACATCCTCCCTGCGACCATGATGGACGAGTTTCGCGCCCTCGGCGAGACAGGGCTGCAGGTGCGAGTTACAAGTCGGAACTGGGACCACTCGACATTTGTCGATGTGCCACTTCTGGATACTCATCCGACTGGATCCCACAACGTCGAACAACTACGATCAAAGCCGGCGTGTGCGCTCGATCCGAAACAGTGCAAGTTTCAAGAGTCTTGTAGTTGTACGTTCATCTGCTTTATCGCTGCCGTGGATATTCCTGAATATTCCTCTTATTAATTGAACATTTATCACCTTTTTGTTCTCGCGGGAATACCACGGCCACCGCTGGTCCCACAACAAGTTCGGTGACAGTTACCCGAAGGAGCGCAAAATCATCGTTTTTGGCTGCCTTTGCTGTACGGTTTATTTCTTACAGAGTTCACTTCTTTATATTTTTAGGTGCGATGCCGGTAGGAGCAAGATGCGCTCTGCCATCTTGACTCCACGCCCGGGCAGCACTCTATGTTACTAACACACTTGAATCTGTTGTACAAATGTCCTTTTCCTTCACAGCTGCGCAAATTTGAGACCGTCACACATCCTCAATTGGGGCAGAAACCCCAACAACAAATCTCGGTTGATGATTTGGCAGAATCTGAATTTGTTAGTGGCGAAGTGTGATTCCATCCACTTTTTCCTTCTGATTTCTAAGTTGTTATCTTTGCAAGCTAGATAAGTTGAGTGAATTGGAGGAAAAAAGGCCCTGAAGTACTGACTTTGTCATGGTGTACGAGTAAGTCGGATAAACTGGGGGAAAAGACTCTTCAAGCAAGAATGCAGACATGGGGAGTCAAACCCCAACATCTCCTTCAACTTCTTTCACTTTTAATGAAAGGAGAGGTGCACAGTACACCACGTCCGCTTGACACCTCTACTTCATTCTTGTGATGAGTCAGATAAATTCTGAACTGCCAAAAACATTCGGGAAGGCGGTATGCGGACGGGGGAGTCGAACCCGAACGGCTGCATCTGAGCTCTTCCTTTATATCTATTGAATGCAGCGGTGCTCCGTGTATGTCCACTTTCCCTCCTCATTCATTCGCGAGATTAAATTGATTGAACTGTGAGAAAAAGTTGATATAACCAGCCACTCAAAGAATGCGGACGCAGGGAGTCGAACCCCAACACCTCCTTCAATACCATCGAATCATGCCAATGATCAAACCTTGACTGGATTCCATTTTTGATTATTGCAGTGCACCGTGCACCACGTCCGCTTCCCACCACATCCTTCTTCCACCTTGTATGCGAGAAAATTTGAGAGAAAATCTGGAGGCGATGGACTATGCGGAAGGTGACCAGTTTATTGAATGCAGCGGTACACCGTGCGCCATGTCTGCTTCCTACCCTTCTCTGATCCTTCTGGTAAGTGAGAAAAATTCCAAAACACCGAAAGAAGGCGAATCCTGGGAGTCGAACCCCAAGCTGCATCAAGTGTAACTGCAACCCGATATTGAGTGCAGCGGTGCCCCGTGCACCACGTCCACTTCCTACCCTCCTCTGCTCCATCTTGTAAGTGAGATTAAATTGAACTGTGGTAAGAAAAAAGTATTGCCAGGAATAGAATAATGCGGACGCGGGGTGTCGAACCCCAACAGCTGCATCAAGTGTAACTGCGAGATGGCATATTGAATGCAGCGGTGCACCATGCACCACGTCCGCTTTCACTTCCCATTTCTTCGCGTGCGAGGTCAGATTGAATTGAGTTGAACTGTGAGAGGAAAAAAATTGGCAGCAGGAATGCGGACGCGGGAGTCGAACCCCAACAGCTTCATCTTAGATAAGTTGGGTAGAATTCTGTTTGTGAGAAGAAAAAATGGAGCTTCAGACAATGCGGACGTGGGGAGTCGAACCCTATCACCTCCAAATGAATAGAGGGGTGCACCGTGCACCACATCCGTTTTCTCTTCTTATTCCTTTTGCGGCAGGTCAGATAAATTGAATTGAACTGGGAGAAAAAAATTGCTGTTTGAGCTCGTCATGCAGATGCGGGGAGTCGAACCCCAACACCTCCTTCAATGCCATCGAATCATGCCTAAATGGAGAGGTGCGTCGTGCGCCACGTCCGCTTTCCCTTCTCATTCTTTCTCCTTGTAGGTGACGAAAATTGAGTTGAACTGCGAGAACAAAAAGTTCAATATGCGCAAAACATGCAGACACGGGGAGTCGAACCCCAACACCTCCTTCAATGTCATCAGTGTAAGCCAATGAAAGGAGAGGCGCACCGTGCACCACGTCCACTTCTTCCCCTTCCTTCTCCATCTTGTAAGTCAGATAAAATTGAGTTGAACTGTGGGAACAAAAAAGTGGGGAAACAGGTGCAATGCGGACGCGAGGAGTCGAACCCCAGCTGCATCTCAGCTAATCGCGTTATACAGTATTGAGTGCAGCGGCGCACCATACACCACTCTGCTTTTTACCCTTCCCTAGCTTCCATTTTATAAGTGAGATAAGACTCTGTTTCAACTATAAACAAAAAATTGTGCTTCTCGTCATACGCGGACACGGGGAGTCGAACCCCAATACCTGCATCAGTTTTTCCTGGTACTGAATTATTGAATATAGCGTTACACCATGCACTACATTTGCTTTTTCTCCTCATTCCTTTGCGTGGAGTCGTCTAAAATTCAGTGAACAAAAGGAAAAGTTGAGACGCTCAGAGCATTGAATGCGGACGCGGGGAATCGAACCCAACACCTCCTTTAACCACTTGTTCTCGCTGATGAGTGGGAGGGGTGCACCGTGCACCACGTCCGTTTTGTGTTTCTACTTCAGTCTTGTAGAATTGTTGAGCTGCAAAAACAAACAAAAAACCATGTATGTGGACGCGAGGAGTCGAACCCCAAGAGCTGCGTCAAATGTTCAACCAACTCGCAAACTATTGAGTGCAGCGGTGCACCGTGCACCACATCCGCCTTACACCTATACCTCCTTCTCTCACCAAGTAAGATAAAATTCTGTTTCAACTGT